TTGCTACCCCATTTTACATATTTCCAAGGAATTTTGACACATAGCATTTTGTTATTTTAATCTATATATTTTATAATTTAGTTTATAATTTCTATAACCCATGAATTGTTTTTAGAAGCATTTTTAAATTTCCAAACAGAAAGACTTTTCCAGTTATTTTTCTCTTATTAAGTGACCAGAGAATGTTGATCGAATCCTTTAAAATATCTTGAGGCTAGCTACATTTATGACTTAGTACTATGATTCCTTTCATAATGCCCTGTGTGCTCCAAAAATAATGTATACTTTCCCATTGTCTTTTCATATATGTGTATATATATATATTCTATATATCGTCTAACAAGGTATTACATAATAGCTAATTTTGCTGTTCAAGTCTTCTATACCCTTTCGTTTTTGAGAACATGGGTACATAAAAGTATCAAAAAAGCTTATACAGCAGGCATGGTGGCACATACCTGTAATCTCAGAATTTGGGAAGCTGAGGCAGGAAGAATGCCAATTTTAGGCCAACCTGGGCTACGTAAAGAGATGCTATCTTAAAAAAAAAAACCTTGTACATGATATTGTATTAAAATTATAACTATTTTATTTACAACAGCAAATGTGGTATCCATGGAACTAGGAGGCTTAGATTTCCCCTAAAGACAGGATCTACTATGAAGAATGCTGGAGCCTGCTATTACTGGTTTAAGAGACTTGGTTGTGATATTTTAAGGTAATTTGCAAACTGGTTAAGAGACAGATCAGGAGGACCAAACCCTCCTTTAGGGTATCTGCTTGAGGTTGAGTTGTTTGATCAAGCTCACTGAGGAAGAATGTTAATTTCATGTTAGGTCTTTGTTGTAAGCAATGCTTAATGTTTTATTTCTTTTATTTTCTTTCTTTTTTTTCAGTACTGGGGTTTGAACTCAGGGTCTACACCTTAAGCCACTCCACCAGCCCTTTTTTGTCATGGGTTTTTTTGAGATAGGGTCTCACGGAACTATTTGCCCAGGCTGGCTTTGAATCTCAATCCTCCTGATCTCTGCCTCCTGAGTAGCTAGGATTACAGGCGTGGTGAGCCACCAGCACCCAGTTTATTTCCTTTTTAATGTTTAGCAGAAGGCTGCTGAAGAAGAGTTTCAAGATCAGCCAGGAGCAGGGGCAGCAGAATGCAAAGGACGCTGAGGTGCTGATAAGTGAGGGACTTGGAGAGTTGGGGCTGCAGAAGATGAAAGACTGTGAAGGACCAGTACTGCAGAAGGGGAGAGAGCTGAGATTGCAGAAAACTGTGCACACACACGCATACACACACTGCTGGAAGAGTTCCAGCATGCCAGTGAGAATTACCAGCTCTAACTGGGCTGCCCGGAAACAGCCCAGAGCTGTAACACTAAGCACTGAGGGCCGCTGGTACTCAAATGCTTGCAATTGTTGACACTAAGGGAGCTGCACTTTGCCTATTTGTGATTTCTATTCAAGTGGAGCAAAAGAACCCTCAGCTGACTGGTAATAGTTAAACATAGCCATTATTTATTTTTTGGCGGCACTCAGGTTTAAACTCAGGCCCTCACACTTGCTAACCAGGCACTCTTACTGATTGAGCCACTCTGCTAGCCCTTCTTTGTGTGATGGGTTTTTTTGAAATAGGATCTTGTGAACTGTTTGCCCAGGGCTGGCTTCAAACCATGATTCTCCTGGTCTCTGCCTCCTTAGTAACTAGGATTACAGGCACGAGCCACTGGTGCCCTGCTAAACATAGCCATTATTTAAAAAAACAAAAAAAGTTTGCTGTGCATGGTGGCTCACATCTGTAATCCCAGCTACTCAGAAGGATCATGATTCAAGGCAAGTCCAGGCAAAAAATAATCAAGACCCTATCTCAGCTAATGACTGGGTATGGTGGTGTGTGCCTGGGTCCTACTACTTGAGAGGGTATAAGTAGGAGCTCACCATCCAGGCTACTTTGAAAAAACCATAAGATCCCATCTGAAAAGGTAACTAAAGAAAAGATAAAAGGGCTGGGGATGCGGCTCAAGTGGTAAAGTGCCTGCCTAACAAACTTGAAGCTCTGAGTCCAAACCTCAGTACAGCCAAAAGCAATTTTTATATTTTTATTTTTTAAGGTTTTTTTTTTTATTGTTGTACTGGAAGTACATTGTGACATTTACAAAAGTTCTTACAATATATCATAGCTATATTCACTCCATCATTCTCCTTTATTTCCCCTCCCCATTCCTGAAATAGTTTCAATAGGTCTCATTTTTCTATTTAAAATTTTTAAATGGTGTTAAAAATATCAACCAACAGTTATATTGAACTACATTGCTAATCAACTGTTAACCATAGATTGGTTACAGGTATGAGTTCAGCAGAAGCCAATGAAAGTATTCTGAAAAAATAAATTGTCCATGAGGAATTTAAAGAGTACATATTATAAGTTATGTGCTACAATCCTTTCTGTCAATAAAAATTTAAATTTATAACAAACTTAATCGCGCGCACACACACACACACACACACACACACACTGTCCCAGAGAGCAAGTTGTTAACTACCGGAACATGACTGGCTGACAGCCTGCAGCCACAGCACCAATAGGATGCTCCACAGCCATCTGAGAACGCTCTTCCCAGGGAGATGGCAGGGCGGTAGGGCCTGGCCATTTCCATTCGCTGGAGAACTCCTCTATGAGCAATCTTCATGCCCGAGCTCTCTTGAGCTGGCTGAGACCTTCTCAGAGTTGCATTGTAGTTTGAATCTCCCTCTACCCAATTATTTTCCCTTTCCCTTTGCTTTTCTAAAGTGTTCAACTGTATCTTGGCCTGAAGACTTTTCTATTCCTCTCTTTATCTTCATAACAATTTCTCCCAATGAATCTTTTGCACTTCTAACTCCTTGGTGTCTGCTTCCTGGAAGATCCAAACTGACAGCGAAGAAAAGCCCATCAACAACTGAATGGATTAAAAGATAAATTTAAGAAAGTGATAGAGACAATATTAACAGTGTGGATTAAAAGGTCTATTTTATAGTCAGGTGCAGTCCTTCATATCTATAATCCCAGCTATTCCTGAGGTGAAGGTAGGGAGGATCAAGATTCAAGACCAGCCTGGGCAAAGTTATCAAGACCCCATCTCAACCAATAAAAAGTTGGGCATGGTGCTTCATGCCTGTCATCCCAGCTGCACAAGAAGCATACATAGGAGGACCCAGTCCAGGCTGGCCAGGATATAAATGAGAAACTATTGGAAAAACAACCAAATCAAAAAAAAGGGCTGGGACTGTGGCTCAAGTGGTAGAGAGCCTGTCTAGCAACCACAAGACCCTGAGTTCAAACACTAATACCACCAAAAAAAAAGTATCTTGTATGTAACTGTTACATTATGTATGAATCACACAAAAAAACAGACTACATGGATGAATCTTTAGAGAGAGAGAGGGAGAGAAGGGATGCTAAGCAAAAGTAGCTCAGTGTTGGGCTGGGAATGTGACTCAGAGGTAGAGCACTTGCTTAGCATATGTGGGGACCTGAGTTCATCCCCAGCACTACAAAAAAAGAAAGGAAGAAAGACGAAGAAGAAGGAGGAGGAGAAATGCTGAGAGCAAAAAGAGTCATATTGTATGAATCTACTTATATGAAGTTGTAGAACCGTCTGGGAGTAGACGGGAAAGGAACTGTTCTATATCTTAATAAGGTGCAATTCATGGGTGTACACATTTGTCAGAATCCATCTTACTATATCCACTTGGACTCCCAGCTCTGCCTTCTATTCAGAACCAACCAGCATTTGTTCTAGTGTGAGAAGCCATTGTTCTGACAAAACAAAGAGCAGCCTGAAAGTGGGGGCGCTGCGGGATTTTACAGGAGCTCACACTGCAGACAGGTGAACAAGAAAGGCTTGGGAAGAAGGGCTCAGACTTCAGAGATGGGTTCTATAGGTATTTGCCACATGACGCGGAAAATACTGTCATTTTACCGCAGCGACGGGGAGAGGAAGACTCGGCCTCAGGAAGTAGGGACTTAGGTAACAGGTGCTACTGAGGCCACCACATGGTATCTTACAGCCACGTGGTGCAGAAAGAAGGTGCCATTTGAATCTTCCAAATCCTGAGTGGGCAGCTGGTGGATGTGACTGTGGTCACTGTCAGGCTGTCGCGTCCTCCCTTTCTGCCACTCCGGAGCTGAAGAACTGAAGAGAAACACCCGGGGCTCGCTGTCTGCACTGTCACTCAACGGTAGGCGCGGCAGGCCCCTCCCAGCTCTAGGAGGTCCCTCGTGGGAGAGACTATGAGAAGCCTCCTTCTGATTGGTCACTCCTGCTGGCCCTCAAATCAATCAGAAGAGAATGTCCCACCCTCCCCATTCTCCGATCCCAGGGAGCCATGTTAGATAGCGGGATTTCTGAGACTATCACACAACATCCTCGCTTTCCTTCTCCACCGCCGTCTCCTAACATGTTAATAAAAATGAACTCTTTCTTCACAAAACGATTTATTTCGTTCATATAATGTGAGAATTCTGCGTTTAGGTGGTTAGATGCGAAGGGGAAGAATTGCATTGTTCTTCCAGCCAAGGATCTAAACCAGCAAAAAAAAAAAAAAAAAGCCAAAACAACTCGTCACCGACTCCGACTCCTGCTAGACTGACTAGCAATTTATATAAATTAGTGATCGTTATAACAACTGCCAAATGAGAATGTCATTTAAGATTACATTTTGCTTTGGCTTGCTGTGGTGGAGTCAGTTATTTGTACAGTTGCAGTTATACTTCCATAATGCCCTGTTAAACTGCAGATTTGTATTATAAACTGTTATTACCTTAGAAGAAATAAAATGAATGGAAGATTTGGATTTCTGGCGGCGCGCGAGGATTTGCAGGACTTTTGTCCCCTCGCGTCTCCTGTAGCGTCCCTAGCAACCGCGCCCCTGGCAACCGCCCTCTCCTAGCGGGGAGCAGCCAGGTCGCTTGGAGGCGGTGCCTGCTTACCCGCCCCGGGCCAGCGCGGGCGCTTCGGCCTCGGAGGCGGGGTGATGGCTGCCTCGCATCAAGCGGCGAGGCTGGCGGCTGCCAGTCTCCACCTCCCAGTAAATCCCACCACCCAGGCGCGGGTCGCCCAGTACGAACGGGAAGACCCCGTACAGGCCCTGGTGGCGGCGGCGGCCTTGGAGGAAGAAGAGCCGGAGCAGGTGGTGCGGCCCACGCGGGCGTTGGTAATGTGGGAGCTGGACGTGGGCGGAGGGCTGGTCCCTGTCCCCACCCGCGAGCGCGGGCTGGAACGCTGTGCCCGGTGCAGACCCTCCCTCCCTCCCTGGTGATCCCGGTCCACTCTTTCTCGCTGTCCTCACCACAAATTTCAAAGCGGAGGTGTTTGAATCTTTAACTAAAGAGATTGTTGGAAAACTTTCTTAGAGAGCATTTTTATGACTTTCTAGAGAGTGCAATGAACAGAACTTTACTCCCTCCTCCACCCTCCAGCATCTTCTGGGAATAGATACTCCACCACCTTCCCCCTCTCTCTTTTTTAACTGAGGAAAACTGTACCCTATAGTGTATAACTCATAAAAACAGGTGAATCTGTGTTTTATCACTTCACAGTCTTAGCTATTAGAGGATTTTAGCATAGTACAGTAGGACTGGGTGTTTAAAGCCACCAAGAGTTCAGTGGATTAGCAGATTATATATAAGCATCCAGACAAGCAAGTTGCTGAGATTCCAGTTTCCTAAACTGTTCTGCAGGTGGAGTGAGACTACCTCTTCACAAATCAATTCTCAGTGTCCTGGACACCTGTCCAACAGGTGGAGGGCAGAGTTTGCCATCTGCTCGATTCACTTAAAAGAATTTAAGCTAACAATCTACAAATGTAAACCTTCTTATCCCCAGTTAAAGTTTCTTCATGCCATATGTCCAAAGCTTCTCAAATATAAAACATATGGTCCAGAGCTAATAGAAATTACTGGATATTTTAAAATTCTAGTCTCTGTAATCTATACTAAAACTATTAATGACAAAATTTGTAGCAAATCTTTTTTTTTTTTTTTGGTGGTACTGGAGTTTGACCTCAGGATCTCACATTGATCTTTTATGGTCAGTATTTCACCAGGAGACAGACAACTTGAGGTTATCCAGAGTAACATCGAGACTCTGAACATTAGTCAAGGTCAGAGCCTTAGGACCATCTTCATACGTGATAAAGCTACCACTCAACACAATTGGCAGTAGTAGTTATCAAAGGAGGCAAAATATTTGAGTAGAGGAAAGGATTTGGAGTCCTGGATTAGAATCCATTCTCTGCTACTTGGTGTGAAGATGTAACCTCCTTAGAGCTATTTCCTTATCTATAAAAGAACTGTCTCTCTTTTCTGTAGCACTCAGCTGTCAAAGAGAACCAAATGAGAGAACGTGTGTCACATCTAAAGAGCAGTTTACATAAATTAATAATAATTATAACAACTGCCACTGGGACTGTCATTTGAGTAACTTGTTTGAAGATTCTATTCTATTTTGGCTTGCTGTGGCGGAGGAGTCAGTCATTTGTATAGTTGCAGTTATACTTCTAGAATGCCCTGTTAAGCTGCAGATTTGTATTATAAACTGTTATTACCTTAGGAGAGATCAGTTTATACAATGAGCTAGTTTCAACAGGACGAGAACCTATTCCCCCCCCCCCGCAAAAAAAAAAAAAGAATAGAAGAAGCAACTAAATCTTATGGTTTTGATACTTTTCTGAGACCACCACATGAAAGATCCAAAAGTAAACCTGGCTAAGCTGCCACAGTAGGCCTGGTAGCCAGAACACACAAGACTGAGGGAGGAAGCACTGAAAAGGCAGGAAAGAGTGCAAGAGTCAGACTTTGCTTTCTTCAGAGATGGGTTGTGATCCGTTGATCCATCTTGGTTTTTTTTCGAGGGGGGACAGTACTGGGCTTTGAACTCAGGGCTTCCTGCTTGCTGAGCAGGTGCTCTATCATGTAAGTCATGATTCCAGCCCTCCACCTTGATTTTTAAAGGTTAATTTGCTTCAACTTTGTTATTTATAAAATATAGTAAATCAGATACTATGTCTACCTCACAAGACTGATTAGAGAACCAACTACCACAATAGCCTCTTTTAGTCCTCTGATTTTATCAAAACCAGGCCCCTCCTCCCCCCATATGTCCTCCCTCCATCCTGACTGTCCCCCTAGTGCACACATACCCCTTGAAGGATTCTGTACCTATGTTTGGCACTGATGCGTGTTCTTTGAATGTAGCCCTAGTTGAAGATGTCAGTTCATAGTCCTGTTATGTAGCTAATGATGACATGGGTAAAGCAACAGTCTATATTTCACAGTTAAAAGTTCACTTTCTTTCTTTCTTTCTTTTTTTTAGGAACTCAGGGTTTGAACTCAGGGCCTAATGCTTGCTAGGCATGCACTCTACCACTTGAGCCACTCTTCCAGCAGTGAATTTCTTAATGGAGCAGCATTCTCTTTTTCAACAAATACTGAACACTTATTAGGTACTAATCACTGACAATTCAGTGGTGAACAAAACAGACGTAGCTCACATCCTTAAAGAACTTTCAGTTTGGTGGGTGGGGAAAGTTAGATAACAAAGTGAACAAACAACTGGGAAATGTTGGGAAAAAATTAACATGATTTAAAGAAGAGCTAAGAGGAGACTTACTTAAATACATTGTTAACATTTAAGTCCATACTTGATGGATGAGAAAGAGCATCCATTAGTCGAGTGAGCATAGGAAGAACGTTCCAGGCAAAGAAAATGTGTGCTTAAGGATCTGAAAAAAAGCTATCAGGACTAGGGGGTTAAGGGGAAAAGGAAAGAATGAGAGGATGAGAATGGGGAGGTGATCAGGGCCTAATCACTCAGAGACTACCAGCAAGTGAGAGGTTGTTAAAGGCTTGTAAGAGATACATGCTCCTCTTTACATCTTAAAAACATTCTTATGGGCTTATGGAGAATGATTGGAGGGTTTAAAGTAGAAGTTAGGAGACTGTTGTAGTAATTCAGGTGCCAGTGGTCTAGAGTCTGGGGGTGGTTGCAAGAGGTGTACAGATTTCTCTAGAATGGTTAGGACATCCTGTAGGGTTGGATGTGATGGCTGAGGAATAGGAAGAAATCAAGGCTGCCTGGTCCCAGGTTTCTGGTTTGAATAAAAATTCTAGAACTGCAGGCAAAACTTTATAGACTACCACACAAATGTTTCCTTATTGGTGCTGATGCTAATGAAGCAACTGGACTGGAAGGATTCATTACCTAAGTGGGTCAAGCCAGTCTTGGGAAGATTATCCTCTTAACCAGTGGCAGCATTTACAACATTCCACAAAAAGAGAAGAAAAATAATGTCCATGGCCTATGCTGTTTGATATACTAAGTGTTCTGTGAGTGGAGACAAAGATGAAATTAGAATTGAGAGTCATTTCTCAGCCATTCATCAGTTTTAAGTAAAACACTGTGAGATCAGTTTATCTGAAAAGTTCTAGCTAGTGTTAATAGTATTAAGCTGAACATTGAGTAAATGCTGTGCAAAAGTCAGTGTGTAAGTAGAGTTTATCAGACCTGCCACATCTCTTCAAAAGCTACTCAGCCTTTTTTTAAGTAGTTCTTCTAGGTCCAAATAATTTCATCCTTTTTGTGTAAATGATTGAGATAAGACCTTCTTTTAAGAGATAGTCTGAAAGAATGAATGAGAGCATATGGATGCTTTTGCCTAAAAACAGTTCTTTGGAATACCCTCCCTGTTTTAATTATAATTTATGGAACACAGGTCTTTTCCTTAATAATCAGTAGAATGAATACAACCTTTAGAGCAGCCAATATTTCTTTACAAGATTCAGTCATTGCTAAGGGAGAAGCTGTTTTCTTCCTTGTACTTTTTAACTGTACATTCATTCATTCAGCAAATGTTTACTGGACATCTACCATTGGCCAGGTACTTTCTAGTCACGATGAACACAAAAGTCAACAAAACAGAAAAATCCTTTCCTTTGTAGTGTTTATTTTCTGGTAGGGTATAGAATACACAAATTAGCAAAGGTAGGTAGGATGTCAGTTGGTGGTTGAGTACTTCTGGGAAAAATAAATCAGAAAAGCAGGGCTGACTGTGTGGAAAGAGTTATAATTTCAAGTAGGTAGTCAGTGAAGACCTTTTTGAGCGAATAACATTTGATGAAAGCCTGAGCAAGTAGGCTGTGCAGATTTCTGGAGGGCTGGCATTCTTGGGAGAGGGAACAGTAAGTTCAAAGGCCATGAGGTAATTCTGCTTATCCTTCGAGTGGTAAATGATTCAGCCAGTAATGGTGAGGATCACATAGAGGAACAGCAGAGAATTCTTTTTTTTTTTTGAGACTTACCTTAATTAATTTGTGTGACACAAGTAAAGGAGCTATTCGTAACATATTTCTGCATCTCACTTCTAATGAAGAGCCAGGCTCAAGAGTGCTTGCTAGTAAGTCCCAGGCCCTGAGTTCAAACCCCATGCTGCCAAAAGAAAAAATATATATATATAAAGAAGAACACTTATTTTCTTTTGTTGGTTTTCTCTAAATTTACCCCAGGTGGTACAACACTGGCTTCTTATACGCTATTTTTAGCCCACTGAAAAGACTGCACATCTGTAACTATTTTGTGTATGTGTGTGTGTGTGTGTGTGTGTGTGTGTGTGTGTGTGTGTACATGTGTACGCATGTGCTTGCGAGGATTGAATCCAGGGCCTTGTGTATGCCAGGGAAATGCTGTACCACTGAGCCATGTTTCCAGCCCTATTATACGTGTAATTGACTTTTCTGAATTTTCCTGTTGGAAAAGGCTAAACAGATTTATTTTCTAGAGTGATACCAGATTGAATCTGTAATTGTCTATAGCAAATATACTTCATAAATTTTGAATCTGTTCCAGACAGTAGGCTAAATTTAAAATCATGGCTGGCAGTCTTATGCATAGTATCATAAATAATTTCAACTGTTTCTCAACTGAGGACATATTAAAACTTTTGTATTTATAGAGAAATGAGGTTTTATGTGTTCTGTTGTTTCAGTTAAAAGAACTGAAAACAATGAGAGAAAAAGGTCCATTCAAAACTTTTAGACATGAATGTGCATAGAATCATGCATTCCTCCTAGTTCTGGTCTCCCAAAATCTCTGTCACTCATGGGAGTTACTACTCTTGTTGCCCTCAGGAGCAGCTCTTCTGAAAGTCTCCTCACTCCTCCTGAGGGCTCCATCCACCTGGCTTTTTGATGAGCCACTGAAAACTTCCTTCCTTTCTTTCCACGGCACACCCTCAGCGCCACACTACAGGAACCCAGCTCAAGGATGGCAATGGGCTCTGTTTACTTGGTTTGCACCGGGAGGAATTGTGTTCCTCTTCTTCTTGTTAAAACTTACAACTCATAAGAACTCCTATAGAAGCCTGTGAAATGGTTTGGTTCTATTCTACTGTAATGTCATTTAACAAGTTAAATACCTTTTGTTGATTATCTGAGAACCTAATCATCCATTATAAAATGGATTAAACAACATATTTTCTGGGAGGTTGGTTTCACTTTCTGTTGTTCTCAAAATATCATTAGGGTAAAATATACATAGCCCACAAGTAACTTGACTGGTCCTCTAAGAATCAGCATTTGCATTAGTATCAATTTAATTTGTCTTTTAATTCCAAATACCATATAACAGGTTTTTCTCCCCAGCCAGCTGATCATAACATCAACTTTTCTGAGGTGGATAAATATCTGACCTATAAGGACCTTGTGAACTGTTCTGATATTTACCACTCTAATGAAGAGTATTTCAGGAAACTAGAAGAGCTGAAGGCTGCCCACGTACAATCTATGGCAAAATTAGAGAAAATGTACCAAGATAAATTAAACTTAAAGGAAGTTCAGCCAATGCTCAAGGGAAATTCTCCTAGTGTCTCTTCCAGGTAAGTTTGTATTTAATATAATTTGTGGATTGGAAAATGAAATGTATATGTAGTATAGTATAAAATTGTTTCAGAATATTTTCTCTTAAATATACCTGTACACTCTTTTTTTTTTTCAGTACTGGGGCTTGAACTCAGGGTACGCACCTTGAGCCACTCCACCAGCCCTTTTTGTGTTTGGTATTTTTGAGATAGGGTCTCATGAACTATTTGACTGGACTGTCTTCAAACCACAATCTTCCTGATCTCTGCCTCTTGAGTAGCTAGGATTATAGAAGTGAGCCACGGTACCCAGCATGTGCACTCTTAATGATATAAGAGGTGGGATTTTATTTAAGATATTTAATGTTGCTGAATGTAGTGGTGCAAGCCTGTAATCCCAGCACTGTGGAGGCTGAGGCAGAAGGATCACGGTTTGACGCCAGCTTGGGCTACATAGTGAGTTCCAGGCCCGCTGGGCTACATAGTGAGACCCTGTCTCAGAAAAACAAGATAAGGACTGGGAACATGGTTCAAGTGGTAGAGTGTCTACCTTGTAAGCTCAAGGCCCTGAATTCAAACCCCATTACCACAAAAAAAACAAAACAAGAATATGTAATGACTTATCAGTTTACTAGGTTACCTATTGCTTTGAGGGTCACTTAGCGGCCATTTATTTGTAGGCCTGTAGACATGTACCAAAATATTTGGAATGGGCCATTTAAAATGATGAATATTAAAGTTTAATTTTAAAATACGGATTAACATGAACTCATTAAAGGTATAGTAGAAAGAGTTCAGAACTCAGATATAAATCAGATTTATGTTTTCAAAATAATCTATAATTTCAAGACCCATTTCTTTTTTTTTGAGGGGGAGGGAGGTACTGGGGTTTGAACTCCTGGCCTCACACTTGCTAGGCAGGCACTGTATCACTTGAGCCATTCCACCAGTCCTTTTTTGTATTGGGTGTTTTGAGACAGGGTCTCATGAACTGTTTGCCCATGCTGGCTTTGAACTACAATCCTCCTGACCTCTTCCTCCCAAGTAGCTAGGATTGTAGTCATGAGCCACCAACACTGGCTCAGGGCCCATTTCTGATGTGAACTTCATTGCTTTGAAACTTGAGGCCAATTCTTAGCTCATTCATTTGGTCCATACCACTTGTGTGTCTCTTGTGTGCCAGACCTTGCCTGAGTGCTGACTAGTCAAAACCAAGATGCCCTCACAGAAATCAGAGACCAGCTGAGAACCAAAAACTGCATTACAACATCATATAGCAAAGTGTTACAGAGCTAGAAGAAGAAGAAGTTGAGCATGCCAAGGTGTTGGTGGAGGGATTCAGAAAAGAATTTTCCACAAAAGTGTCACATCTGAGTTCAATGTTGAAGGAGAAGTAAGATGTGCAGCAGATAAGGAAGCAAGGAGTGGCCTTCTAGGCAGCAGAAACCATGTGTCCAGGTGTGGTGGCACAAGAGTCATGGTTTGTGTGAGGAATTTCTTGTGACTGGATATGACTTAAGAGTGATGACAGGGATAGGGAGGGATGAGAGAGGTAAGGCAACAAAGGGAAGCAGGGCTTTATAATCTGGACTTTGGAGCGAAGAGGAATTATTGACATCGAAGTTACATAATCAGATAAATGTTTTAGGATGGTGACTCTGGAGAATTTAATAGAGGTTAGATAGAAGGAGCCTCTGATATCACAAATTCCTTCCCCATAAAATAAGAGAGCGAGTTAGAGAGTTTATAGGCACCTCTCAGTTCTGTTCTAAATAAAAATGATAATTTTCATAAGCCCTATCCAAGTTCTGTCTTGTAGCTGATTACACCCTGTCTTAGACAATATTGAACTCTATTTTAATTTTTACATGTGGTCAAGTACAATTGAAAGTGTACTCCAATTATTCTTCTTACCTAGTTCTGTATCAGAAAAGAACTCCTCTCACCCTATCTTGTTGGTGACATCACTTTCGGAGCCTGATTTAGGCCGGTCCCCCTCCTTGTATACCTCTTCCTCTGAAGAGGAGCTGTCCAACGTAGACAAAGAGAGTTCCAGGAGAAACAGAATGATGACCTATGCCAAGGAGCTCATCAACAACATGTGGACAGATTTCTCTGTTGAAGATTACCTGCAGAGCGAAGATGCTGACTTGGAAACAGTTGAAAAACCAGGGAAGAAACCAAAAGAATGGGTGCCCACAATTACAGTGCCTGTGCCTTTTCAAATGATGATTAGAGAGCAGAAGAAAAAAGAAGAGGCCATGAAGTCTAGGTCAGATATCGAAATGGGACATAAACTGCTCAAGAAACAAGAAGATTCGGAGTGTAAGAAGAAATTCCGAGCCAATCCCGTTCCTGCATATGTCCTTCTCCCCCTTTACCAAGATATAGTCAAGCAAAATGAAGAGCGGAGGAGGACTATGAAGGAGAAAAACAAAGAAGCTCTTTTGGCCTTACAGAAGCCATTTAAGTTCATTGCAAGGGAGCAACAGAAGCAAGCAGCTCGGGAAAAGCAACTGAAAGACTTTTTAAAGTCTAAAAAGAAAGCAAAACGATTTAAAGCCAGACCCATACCTCGATCTATTTATGGTTCATCTACAAGTGACAAATTAAAAGAAGACGACTTCTATAGAAACATTAGGATGCAGCTAAGAGCCCAAGAGCTTTCACAGAATTCATCTCCCCTGCCTTGTTCACCTTGTAGACGTTTCAGGAACCCCAGCTGTCTTGAGAAGGCAAGAAAGTTAAGGTGTAATTGCCAAGAGAGGTGCCAGGCTCCTCATGTTGATGACCTTCCTGAGAAAAATAAGGACCACTTCTCAGAACACAAGTGTCCAAAGTTCTCAACAGTCCATAAACGATTTGATCTTCATTCATCCTCAAGTGAGTCTGCTAAAAGAGAGAAAATTTTGGCAGACATTCGAGCAGATGAAGAAAATTTGAAAGAAACTCGTTGGCCTTATCTGTCTCCAAGGTTGAAGTCACCAGTAAAGAGCATGAGTGCAAAGCCCATGCTTTATAACTACAGCCCTCCAATGCCCACAGCATCTTCCCAAGGACGGGAACAAGCCATAAGGTAAATGACTGGGATTCAGTACTGACTGACTCATGGTTGCTAAGCTAGGGTATGCAGCTATGTTGATTTTATGTTGATGAGTTTAAAAATATTAAGAAATTGTTATTGTATCTGTAAGATATTTTACTATATAATATAGAACATTTTGCTAAGGGTGTTCTAAGAAGTGAATACATTGTCTGCTTTATTAATCTTTGGGGATAGAAAAGGTTACAGTCAGTCTTGATTGGATTTCCAACTTCACAAGTCAGATCCCTCTCAAAAGATTGCCTTTTCTCAATCTTTGAATTATCCCATGTTAAATCTTTGCTAAACAACTTTCTCCTTGGCTTAAAGTGAATTAAGCCTTAGTTTGTTGCCCTCAGGAGATCACTTGAGGAAAAGAAAATGTTGGAAGAAGAAAGAAATCGGATCCTAACTAAGCAGAAGCAAAGAATGAAAGAATTGCAGAAACTCCTGACAACCCGGGCTAAGGCTTATGACTCACACCAAAGTTTAGCTCAAATATCTAAATCCAAAGTAAAATACTTCAGGTATCATGAAAGAATCCTGAAACTCCAGAACATTGGTTTCCAAACTTTCTTTTTTAAAAAGTCAGTGGATACCAAGATATGAACAAATTGAGAATGGTATTTTAGTTTATAGATTCAAGTTATAATTGGTTACTTATATCCAACATGTGCAAACATGCACACATGCATGTACACGTATACACACACGGACTCACTGCCTGGTGAGAACCTTGGAGCTGTGTTGATGAACAGAAACATTTTCTACTGTAGTTAATGGCTGTAATCTTATGTCAACAGATAATCTTTTTCTTTGTGTCTATATTTTTTTTGTTTTATTTTGTTTGGTTGTGCTGGGGATTGAACCCAGGGCCTATGTTCAGCCTGTGTTCTACCACTGAGCAATATCCCCAGACCTCTTTATATTGTTTTTGATTGCACAATACAGAATAGTGAGAAAAATCTTTTTTTTTTTTTTTTTTTCGTGGTACTGGGCTTTGAACTCAGGGCCTCATACTTGCTGGGCAAATGTTCTACCACTTGAGCCATTCTGCCAGCCCTGTTTTTGTGTTGGGTATTTTTGAGATAGGGTCTTGTGAACTATTTGCCTGGGCTGGCTTCAAACCTCAGTCTTCCTGATCTCTGCCTCCCAAGTAGCTAGGATTACAGGAATGAGCCACAAGCATCTGGTCTATTGAGAAAAATCTTGATTCACATAGATAAAACTTTTTTTAATAGCTTACCATAAATCTCAGATTTTGGGGAGAGGTTGCTGGGGATCTAACCCAGGGCCTTGCACAGCCTAGGCCTGTACTCTACCACTGAGCTACATCCCCAACTGAGAATATTTCCTTCCTTCCTTCCTTCCTCCCTTCCAGTGAAAAATCATGGCTAAATTTATGAGGAAAGGAAACTAGTATGACAGGATAAAAGTGGGGAAAATTGTGGGGAAAAAGAGAAACATTTACTGCTCCCTGTGCTGCAGAAGATGGGAATAAAGATGCCTTTTTTTTTTTTTTTTTTTTTTTTAGGAAGGGTCTCACTATATAGCCTAAGCTGGCCTTGAACTCACAATCCTGCTGCCTCAGTCTCCCTTGCACTGGAATTACAGGCATGTACTACCATACCCAGCTTATTTTTCAATAAACACATACCTCAAAGAGTAGTTCTGAGCATGCACAAATCAACACATTATGGCTAATTAACATTAATACGTAGTGTGTTGATTAACACTTGTTAATGTTTAGTGGTACAGATTACTAGAATTCTGTAAAACAGAGTTTGAAAACCAATGTTTCAGATGTTACACATAAAAATATTCATGTTTAAGTAGGAAAATGTCTCCCCAAATCTGGGTAAGTAATATGATTTATTAATTTTTAATACGATTTAGAAGAACCAAATATATGTATTTGCTTTTAATTATGAGTATTCCTTTATAATGTAGCATTAATTCACTTGGCAGAGGAAACAATTTGGTGAACTTGAGCCAAAAAACCCTTAGAAATGCAGCATTTACCTATAGTAAGGAAACTGGTTTTCCATAATAATAACTTGTGTTTGATTAAGCATAATTATAATTTTAAAGTATAATTATTTCCTCTAATCCATTAAATCTTATTATTTTGGTTGCTTTAATATAGTTTACACAGAAAAAAAACAGCATAATTTTATTTCTTCATAGGATCTAGTCTATAGAGTGGGTACACGTACGAAGTCAGTCTCTGTATTCCGGTTCTGTTCTGTGCGTGTGTTACATCCCATGCTCCTCACTGCTCCCTGACTTGCTCTTGTTTAATTAACTTGGCCACTAGCCTTTAGGAGATCTCATTCAGGGGGAAAAGTAAGAGCATGGTCCTATTTTCAGAAGAAGTTCCTTAAAGAAACAATACATAATTTGAATCAAGTTTTCTTGGTTTTGTACACTTATAAATGAGATTAGAGACTGGTCATTCACCTCTTCAGGCCAGTTTGAAGCCCCTTTGTGTATTATGCCTCGAAGATTTGGGGAGTCAAAGTACCCAGAATGTTCCCAAGGGCATGTAATGTGTGCTCTCAGAACCTCGGATTTTTATTCTGTATCCCATGAGAATTCCAGGAGTGGAGGTAAACTGCTTACAATTTCTATTTGTCATCTAAGCCAAATGTTGTGTATGTTCTTAGATGACCTTTTAAAGTTCCATTCCTTTTATTTGATTTTAGAAAAAGTGAAAAGGAAAGGATGAGAGACTACCAACGAGAGCTAGAAGAAAGAGAAGAAAAATTAAAACAGAGGCCACTGCTGTTTGAAAGAGTTGCTCAGGTTGTGTTTGTTGGAATTTAAGAGCTTTGTCAGCCTTTTTAAAAAAATGTATTTGGCTCCCATATTTACAGTCAATTTTTCCTACATGTTATGTAATTACTGAGATGTATTGTTTCTGTGAGAGCTTCATCAAATCAGCCAAAGAAGTAATGTTGCTTAAGATCAGTGAATTAAATCTTGTTGATGAGGCATATAAACTTGATATTAAAAAAATGCTGCTAATCCAGTTCAAAAAAATATTAGCTTTACAACCTGTTTTTAATGGGTGGTCTTTTTAAAGTATCAACCTAGTTATTTATTAAGGTGAGGTTTCATGATATGATTTGGCGGGCTTTGAAGAATTAAAAAATGAAACAAAATGGCTAATTGAATCAGATTTATTTCTGCCAATTTTTTTTTCTTTGTAATGGTACTGGGGTTTGAACTCAGGGCCTCATGCTTGCTAGGCAGGTGCTCTACCACATGCGTCCAGCCCTTTTTGCTCTGTTATTTTGGAGATAGGGTCTTGCTTTTTGCCTAGGTCGGCCTGGTCAGATACTACTATTTTATGCTTCCCACTGTAGCTGGAATGACAGATGTGCACCACTGCACCCAGCTACTGGTCGAGATGGGGTCTCATGAATTATTTGCCTGAGCTGTCCTCAAACCTCAGTCCTCTGGATGTCAGCTTCTTGAGTAGCTAGGATAATAGGAGTGAGTTCCTGGCACCTGACTTTATAATCTTTCTCTTAAGGGAGATTTATAGATTTCAGGTCGTCTCCTCCTTTGTCCCCGTATTGAAGAGTTTGTATGGGCGACAATGTTTAAGACAAAATCACTGGAGATTCCAGGTGTTGTATTGTGAATTCCAAGCTCTTAGCAACTGGACAGTAGACACTTGGAGCACTTGCACCTCTGATGGATGAGCACAGTTGCAGGACTGTGCTCGTCAGTGACACCTAGGACAACGGACATGTACTGTAGGAGAACTGACTCAGCAGAGTCTCTCAGTGACATAATCCTCTTACCTCTTCATTTTGATTTAATTTTATATAATGCCTTCCATTTTAAGGAGTGGTTTTTTTTTTTTTAACATCTCCATTTCAACTTTAGGGAGAAAATAATTTTAAGCTGTTCTTTATTATATAACATCAAGTGATTGACTTCTGGTTCAAATTATTTCTGGCTCCATACTCAGTTTTTTATCCACTGCTCTGGTAATCTCTACCTAGATTCCTGTATGCATTTTACATTCATCTCTCCCTTCCCCCAACTAGATCCTCCTCTCGATTTCCTGTTTTGGTTACAGGTATAATTTAGATGACTGAGAGCTACTTCTCCTCCCAATTGGGTTGGTCACTGAGAGACCTGTCATGTTCTTTTCCTAAGTAATTTTCCCTGCTGGAGAATTGCCAGATGAAACTGCTACTATTTCCTATCTGAATTATAATAATTTCACTGAACTGGGTATGGTGGTACATACCTGTAATCCCAGTTACTAGGAGGCCGAAGCAGGGAATCATTGAGCCCAAGAGTTGGAAACCAGCCTGGGCAACATAGTGAGATCCTGTCCCTTAAAAAATTTTTTTCACTGCTCTTTCTGCCTTGTTCTTTGCAAAGCCATCCATTATGTCTTCACCTTGCCATTCCCATTGGTGGCAGTTAATAACCCTTGATCACAGTCGATCATCCAGTCTCATTGACTTCATTTTCATTTATAATGAATTTTATTAAGGAGTCTCATCACTAACTTCCCCAACAGTGCTATAAGGTAGATCATATTATGGATGAAGAAACTGAAGTTCAAAGAAGGTAAGTAATTTATGAGGTTTATAGTTAGTAAATTGTAGAACTAGGATTGGAATCCAAGTTGATCTGCTTCCAAGCACTTTATTAACCCTTAGCTGTCCTGTTTGCTTCCAAAAGATAATTTCACAAGTCTTAGCCCAGTAGACAGACTCCTCTGTGATCCCTGTTAACCTCTTTAGTCTGTCTCCCATTGCACTCTTCCTGTCCTGCTCTTCCTGTCCTGTTCTTCTTTCCCCTAGGGAAACATTTCAGGCCATACCAGACAACTAGACCGCTACCTTCATACTTGAAGTCTTCATTCTTGCTGCTTTCTAAACACCTTTAGTCTCTTTACTAGTTCCTGCTTGTTTAAGTCTTAGTGTACAGTCAGTGTTCTTGCATTATTTCCTCAGGTTGCCTTGGGTGCTCTTCTCTTCTCTTTTACTGGTCTTGTGCACATGTCTGTCTTTGTTCCTGGCACAGTGTGTGAAAATTATCTGTGTAATGGTCTCTCTTCCTTTCTAGCCAATTCATGTTAAGGATGGTGGCCAAATCTTTGCATTCCCAGCACCTAACACCTAGGACAATGTGTCTGGCACAGTGGAGATGTTAATAAGCATTTGTGGAACCAAAACTGAACAATTATTATCAAATTAGACAATGACCTTATGTTTACACTCTGGGATTACCCTGGCTAAGAGCTCTACTCTGATGTATTAGTGATGAATCTCAGCATTAATAAACAGTTTCGTCGTGCTGTGAATTCCCACTGTTTCTAAGCACCAGGGAAAATGTGGCAAAGTAAATGTCAAAAGCAGGTTAGTTTTACAACTATTTCTCCTCCCACTTTTGGCTCTCACACACGCTGTTCCCTTCCCTCAAAACTTTTTTCTCTCCCCATGTTCTTCCTACCACACATGAGGACTTGAGAAAAATAAGTATTCAGTTAATTGTTAAACAAATGAAAGAATTACTACAAAATAAACCTCTGGTGATAAAAAATAATTTTTCCCTTTGAAGTAGGACACTGATTATAGACAAAACTTTGACCATCATTTACTATTTTAGTTTTTGGAAGAAACAAAGGTAATCCTTTTTAGCAGGATTTTGATAGTAAAGAAAATAATGCAATTTTTAAAAAACTGTTGTACTGGGGGGTACATTGTGACATTTACAAAAGTTCTTAACAATGTATCATAGTCCAACTCATCTCTTCCATCATTCTCCTTTATCCTCCCTTCCCAATGCAATTGTTTGCATTGTTCCTTTGACTTCACAGTCTTTACAGTTCTTTTGCATGGTGAATTGCAAAGGAAAATAGAAATAATTATACATTATTCACCTTGATGTAAAATTTTAAAAAATTCTACATATAGAGTGATACAGCAGTGGATGGATCACCATTATTTTGGTTTTGTTAACATAAACTAGTACTTTTTTCTTGCAGTCTATTTTTGCTATGACTATTGCTGCTAATTAACAGCTGTTATTTAGTAAACTCATTTACAGCTTTATTCATTGCTCATTATAAGAGTTAATTGTGGCTCCCTGCTGTTAAGTTATCCCCTAGCAGAATACACCTATGATTGATTACAGAACAAACCATATTGTCCTGTTTCTTGGAAATAATAAGGTTTGTTAAATTCAATTTTAAACTAAATTCAGATGAGGGCTTACTAGCATTGCCTTTTTAATTTCTTTTGTATTTAGTTCACTTACTCATAATATACTGCTCTTCCTGCATTCAGAGTTAGCGTTGGGCTTTATTCTCTTCTATGGTCTTTGAGGCATAGTTCTCATCTCTTGCTTTGCCTTGCCCTTCAGTTCGCCCAGGTATTTACAGCTTCTGGATGCATTTTTACTTACTTTATAAAAGCTGCTGTTGCTCACAGTGGTGCATTTTAGGGGAGTTTAAGAACTTAGAGTATCAGGGAGTGAATACACTGGCATTAACTTTATCCACTATAATTAGCCTTTGCAATTTTGGTTTCTCCTGTGAAACAGGATTCCCTGTATTGAACAACTTTCTTACAACCTCATTGCTCATGTCAGGATTTCACCCACCTTCAAGTTCCAGAATGACCACTATCCTTTTGGGAAAGCAGCGTGATAGAGTGGGAAAGAGCTAGGAAGGGGTCCTACTACTCACCAGCCTTGTGATCTTAAGCAAACCACTTAGTCTCTGGAGGGGCATCTTGGTTTCCTTATTTCTTGATATGGAGGTTAGCCCTGGGGATGTCTTATACCTTTTGCAGTATGGGATGCTATTGGTCTATTGGAACTGAGCCACTTCCTGTCACATTGCTTTAGGTGGAAGGCCAAAGGGCAGTTCTTGGCCCCAGACTAGCTCAGATCCACTCCTTGGAGCCAAAAATGAATCAAAGCTGAGGCAATAGCGTGAACATAGTCACCCCATACCCCACAAAGCCTGTGGTCTCAGGAACTGTGATGGCTTTCAATCTGCTGCAATTATATTTTGCTTTGTTTTTGTTACTTTGCGGTACTGGGGATTGAACCCAAGACCTCATGCATGATAGTCAAGTGCTCAAGGGCATCCCAGCCCTCAACTTGCTGCAACTGTGTAAGGGTCATCACAACTCCCAATAGATCTCCAGCCCAGAAAGTGACATGCCAGAGAGTTGAATCCACTTCTAAATCCATGTCTTTTTTGCTGTATCCCTTGTTTCCTTCATAGAGTAAAGATAACAATACTGATGATTTATTATCTTTAATGGATTGGAGCTAGATATGGTTTATAAAGAATAAAAATTGTAGCTGGGTGCCATGGCTGACACTTGAAATCCCAGCTGCTTGGGAGGCAGAGATAAGGAAGATTGTGGTTGGAGGCCAGCCAGGGCAAAAGTTAGTGAGCCTCCATCATGCTCCTGTGATCCCTGCTATGAGGGAGGCTGTAGGTAGGAGGCTACCCCCAGGCAAAAATGTAAGACCATACCTGAAAAATAACAAAGTGAAAAAGGGCTGGGGGCATGGCCCAAGTGTAAGAGCTCCTGTGAGGCTAGCAAGCAAGAGACTCTGAGTTCAAATCTCAGTACCCCTTCCCCCCGAAAAAGGAAGAATTACAGTAGACACTTAAAAGAGCCCCCTAAAAATATACGATCTCACTTTCTGATCCATATAGATATGTTATCTGTTGTGCTACTGATGTGATCTTATTTTCTTACTGATTTCTTCCAGGTATCTCTCTTTAGACAGTCACAAAAGCATATATAAAACCTAGCACAGTGTAAAAAAGTAATTACAGATATGTGGCTACTCCCAGGTTAACAAATACAGTGTACAGTACATTAGAAGCCCTGTGTGCCCATTCCTTAGATAAACATTTCCTTGTTTTTCTGTGCAGTTTTACTACCTGTACATCCATCCCCAAGCAATATAGCTTGGCTTGTCTGGTTTTGAATCAAGTTCACGTACTCTTGTATGCTTTGGTCTTTTTGCTTCATATTACATTCATGAGACCTATTTATATGGCAGCAGATGGACTATAGTTCATTCATCTTCATTGCTTTATTTTCTTTTGTGAATAAACCAGTTTATTTACCTATCCGTTGACAGATATCAGAGTGTTTACAGTTTTAGGTTACTACAGACACAACTATACTGAACATCTGAACAATGTATCCTGATGTTCTTGTAAGCATCTCCTGGGGTACATATAAATGAGTTTCTCTGAGTACACACTAAGAAGTGTCATAGTTGGTCACAGAATACGCATATTTTGGTCAACTGTGAAATACTGTTGAACTGAATTTTCACTGGAGCTTTTAGCCCATACATTTTTAATGGAAATATATAGTCTTTGTACTCATCTAAAAAGGTTTGTCTTTCCTATAGAAAAATGCAAGAATGGCAGCAGAAAGGCATTATTCTAACACCCTAAAAGCACTAGGAATATCTGATGAGTTTGTTTCAAAGAAAGGCCAGAGTGGAAAAGTCTTTGAGTCCTTCAGCAATCAAGAGAGGAAAAGTTGCACTGAAGCTAAACAAAGGTAACATATAAGATGTCTGAACGGTTTACCTTTGAAAAAATTCTTGCCTGCAGGAAAGTATCACTTCTGTTCTCTATTATTTTTTTTAAAAATCTTTTTTACCTAAGGGAATGCATGTAAATTGTTGTAAAACATACCAATATTTTACCATGTTTGACAAAACAAAATATTACATAGTGATGAAGTATTTTGTTTTTAAAGCAAAATCACTCAGATTTTTGACTGACATAAATAACAAATATAATAGCATGTTTCCAAATGACGTGTAAGGAGTCAGTTACTCAAGTTTTGAAATAAATTAGTTCTCAAAGGAAGATTTAATTTCCCAGTTGGCACTTTCATAGAATTTTCTTGGTAATAAATTGGAACTCACACACAAGGAAGACTGGCTAGCTGATGGTGTCAATTGCAAAGGGTTTGTGTGCCTTTAAACCAACTCATTTTTCCTTTGAAAGATTGATAAATTTCTTCCCTTAGCTTTAATGAAGAAGAAAAAATAGAAGAAAGAGAGCATGGGGAAGAAAATTATTTTGTTGATACCAACAGCCAGGATTCTTACAAGGAAGATGAAGATGATGAAGAAAGTGGAGAAGAAAAATCTGTTGAAGACTAAAATTTAGTGAAGGAGGTCTCCTCTATGTGCCCTTGCTATTTATGACATCAGGATGTCCACAGCTGCACCTGTGATGTTAAGAGCATCTGTGGGGACACCTCTGATCTGTGCAGGGCTGTTAGACAAAGACATCAGAGCCTCCTAAGGTAGAATCCAGATGATTGGTGATTGGGTTAGTTAGAGGAAGGCTTTGCCTCTTCCATTTTTTAAATTGCGATGTATAGTCTGTTTGCAACTATGATCTTATATGTATTTTTTTAAATGGTTGAAAAAAAGATGCAAGAATCACAGCTGTCACAAACTGACCAGTTATGAAAATAAACATTTTATTTTGTGGGGAAATTTGCTTAGCATTGAGAGGAAAGAGAAGTATTTATTGACTTTTGGTGATTTATTTAAAATATTTTTCTAGAAAGCATTAATCAATAAAGATTTTTAAATATACTATTTACCCTTTTTCTTCTCTGCAGTACATTTCACAAAATGAGTCCTCAAACTTACTTTTTAGGTATTTTAAGTTCATCTTGAAATTATCATTTTTTAAAAGTAATGTAGAAGAAAATAGATACTTGAACATTTACATTCATCTCATTTCATTTTTTAAAATAATAGTAAAGTTTATTAGGAAAGGAATTTAGCATAACAGGATAAGAATGGGGAGAAATGGGAAAGAGAGAGAAACATTTCCTGCCCTCCATGCAGGAAATGAGAGCAGAGACTCCTACATTCATTTCTGTATTGAGAATTTACTGTGAAATTATCCACACTGCCATCACTTTTCCCTTTTGTCTTTAGCTTCAGTCCTTTCTCTTTTTTATTTTTTAATTTTTTTTTTGGTGCTGGGATTGAATCCTGGGCCTCACACAAGCTAAGCATGTACTCTACCACCTAGCTACACTTCTTAACCCAACTGAGTTATTTTTGATAAAGTATTAGAAAAGTTTTTATACTAATTTTTAACCCTGTGTATTATTACAGATGGCATCTGTAAACTATACTCTTAATTAAGAGGTAAATAGCATCCCAGTTTTAGATTTACTGAAATTATGTATAATAACTTGCCAAAGGCAAGTCTTCAAAGTAATTCAGACTTAACTTTTAATGCTAGACTCTATGCTCAACTCTTTCCACACTCTTGCAAACTTACCATCTCTGTATGATGTTAACTTGGTGAGTCATACTTCCTCTTAAGCAAATTTTTATTTTAAAAATTCAAACCAATCATAAAGATGTTACAGAGTAAGACAATTACTTTTCTAAAAACAATCAGCATCCTTTAAAAAGAATGAACTAACAAAGGTGTATATAATAGCTGTGTTTTCCTACTGGCAGCTTATGCTCTCACAAATGAGATTTTTCTCAATCAGGAGCAGTGTTTACTTTTAACTCCTTTCCTACAGTTTATGGTAAACTACATGTCACTAATACTAGATTTTAAAGTTCTTGAGAGACAGTGCCATTAAAACATTCATCTTTGTATTCCCTTAATCTTTAACACATGCTGTGCATATGGTAGATAATTAATAAAGATCTGAGTGAGTGAGTTGATGAATGTGATTTTTAGTTATACTTATAGTTACTTCAGGTGAGTACAAATGGATTTAAAAACATTTCCCTTCCATGATTGAGAATCTGTGAAACACAGTCCACATCCTGTAAGATTTAAAACTTTGCTTGCTTCCACGGGTTCTCACCACACTGTCCCTTCTCAATTTCCTGGAGAGAGTGTGAGCTTTGATCATGAAAGACTTGCCTTCAGATCCAGTCTTCAGTTTTCTTTTAAAAATGGGGATGGTAACTAACTTAGGTGGCTTTGGAAAGGACTGGGTGAAATCATTTATGGAAAAACTGAAATATGATATTCATCTGATCACATCAGAAGATAGCATATGCCTGAGGAAGACTTCTTCCTTGCGGCATTGGGGGTCACACCCATGGCATTGTACATGCTAAGCATGCTCTTCTCCACTAAGCTACACCCCCAGATACTTTCTGTTGTTCCCACAATGTGAAAATAGCCATTGAGTTGCAAGCATGATCTTGAAATAAAGTACTAATTTTCAGAGAAAATGATAGGGACCATTGTTTGGCTGGTAACTATTTTCCCTTTTCTTTCCTATTATTGTGTCTCTGTTTTGCTGGAGGTGGCACCATGCCCAGCTTTAAAAAAACAAAACAAAAAAACACCTGTCTATTTCCCAAACTTCCTTGTAGCTAGGTGACCATATTATACCATTTTGGCCAGAAAAGGGTTTTCAGGAAAACGCGTTAGAAGGGAAAGTCTTGGCCAGCTTGGCCCTTTGACCTTTGCCTTTTCTCTTCTTTTCCGGAACTCTTATTTGATGATGAAAGCCAGACTAGCAATATTGCAATTAGGAAGAAAAGGCCAAAGAAAGTCTGAGAAACTTGGGTGCTCATACTTTTGAGCCACAGAACCAATACTAGCAACTGCCAACCTGCAGATTATGTGTTATCTTGCTTAATCCTCAGTCATTTGGGTTTTTATTAAATGCAGCTGAACACAATTCCTCATTCCAGAGCTATACCCAGCTCATCATTCAATATATTGTTTCAAGTATCATTTCTGAAATTCAACAAACTCTGCATCTGTGATGTTAGATGTGTACAGTGAGGTCATTCATTCACTTCTCTTTAAATAATGCTTCTTTTTAAGCCAGGCACAGTGGCACACACCTTAATTTCAGCATTTGGGAGGCTGAGACCGAAGGATTTTTTAGTTCAAGACCAGCCTGGGCTACAAGGGAGACTCTGCCTTAAAAAAACAAAAAAAGAAAGAAAACTTTCCTAAAATAAAAATATCCACATTTGTCTATGAAGGAAAGAAATGCAAAACCAGGACATTAACAGTGTAAAGAGAAAAAATAAGTCTTTCTTAAAGAAATATTTCTGTTCATCTCCAATTATTAATCTAAAGTATGGCATATTTTCTTCCAAAAGGTATCTTGTTCCACTATAGTAATGCTCAGAGGAATCAAGTACATGCTATCCTAAAAGTTATGTTCCTGAAAATGGTGCCAAGCACAATTCATGGAAACCTAGGGACAGAGGACAAAACAGGGCAGGAGGAAACCTAACAGTCTTGTACATTTGGGAAAATTCAATAGATAGCAGTTCATTAGGTAAAGATGCCAGTGGTATTAGGACACACACACACACACACACACACACACACATGTCCACGCATGCACACACACACACACACAAATAATGAATAGCATGCAATTTTCTTAGTTATACCTTGCTCATCAAGGAATTTTCAGGACTTCTCTTTCTCCCATAGTTTAATGAGAGTTTGTGACTTTTACTCTCAGGGAAAGGGAAAATTGTATTCTGCTTCAGCTTCTCTGTCCCTCACAAGGAGGCTGTGAACCCATATTTCCTGTTGCTGTCCTGTTTAGTTCTTCCTCTTTCCAGTTCCTCCAGCTTCTGATCTCTCAGTCCATCTGGGTGAGCTTGACTCGCTCAGAAGAGCACTCAGGCCTACCATCAGGAAAGTATGAGTTCAAGAAAGGGGACTAGGAGGAGAGTTGAAAAGCAGCAAATATATGGGAGGAGAGCGTCTTCATAAATAAGAATCTATTAGCCAGGCACCAGTCGCTCACGCCTGTAGTCCTAGTTATTTGGGAGGCTGAGCTCTGAAGGATCATGGTTCTAGGCCCACTCAGGCAAATAGTTCACAAGACCCCATCTTCAAAAGAACCAGAGCAAAATGGGCTGGAGGCATGGCTCAAATGGTAGAATGCAAGTACTAAGCCCTGAGTTCAAACCCTAGTCCCACCAAAAAAAAATAATCCACTTTGTATATCTGTAGTTTTTTAGGGATTTCACACCATATTACTGGAATCTCACATCCAACCTGTAGGTAGGTAGACAGTTTCCTTTCCATGTTGCACAGGAGAAATGAAATGGCACGGGCAATATTATGCCAGTAAGTATGACAAAATGTGGACCCGAGTCCTCTGCTCATTAGCTGACCTACCCTTCACCCTGGAGATGAGTCCAAGCTCTACGTTATATAAGTAAGATGTAATCTATGTCTGTGTAACACGTAATGTATATATATGTAATATGCAATATGTATTCTACAGTGTATAAAACCTGTACTACATATAATCAAAAGGTGTATACCTATATCCCGTGAGTGGCACCATAGATTTCATTAGTACCTGTTTCCATCTACATCATTCTCAGATGTCACCCCTTGTGAACAGCCTCTCCTTCCCTAGACCTCTTAGACTTTGGACCTTTGACTTCCTCATCCTCAGACACCTCTTCCTCCTCAGCTGAACACTCCAAAATCACTCATTTGAACTCCATGTTCTGATTACAACTGCTATTGCCTTCAACCTCACTTGATGCTCTTTTTTTTTTTCATTTATATCTTCACAAATGTTGTCAAACTCTACATTCATCTGCTTTGTTTCTTCCCTTGCTTTCTTTTACTTATGGCTTTACCCTGTAATTCCTTTACTACCATTCAGGAGGGACCACATGGTCAGAGAAATCCTGCATGATTTCCTGGGTATTTCCTGGTTTTCTGCCTTCTTTGCCAGTGGCTTATATCTCCTTGCACTCTGAGTGCTCCTTAAGGCTGTGTCCCTGCTCTTCAGGTGATGCCATCTTTTCCCAAGAACATCTCAACTGCATATCTCAATCTCAGACTACCTTCAGAGCTTTACCTTTTAAGGACAAATACATCTCAAATGCAATGTGCCCAAAATCAATCTTCAAATTTCTTGATTCTCCATTAAGTAGCACTGCATTCTTCCTAGTTGCTCAAACCAGATACCTGGGAGTGGTCATCCTTGGTTCCTTCTTCTCTGTTTGCTCATGCAGCCAGTCATCAGCAAGTCCTATTGTAAATCCCTCCACCATGTGTTACTATAGCCTGCTTCTGTCTGTTTCCACAGCCTCCACTCTAGTGCAAGTCATTGGCCTCTCTCTTTAAGATCCACGGGATCCAGCCTTTTATGATTGTGTGTTTCATGAGAAAAAGAAATTTGAGCATGCCCCTCCAATCTCTTTTTATATAAAGTTTATATTTAATATATTTTATAGTTCATGAATTATTTTTACAGCATCTTATATAAATGTTTATGATATATCTGCTACTTACTAACATGTTATGTTTACTATGAAACATATATAAAAAGATATCTAAGAAGATAAAATTAGAATAACTTTATCTTAAAAGTAATTTTAGAGCTAGGTTCCAGTGACTCACATCTGTGATCCTAGCTACTTGGGAGGTTGAGATCTGGAGGATTACGGTTCCATGC